CATATTTTGGTTTTACCATATTAGTGCAATACAACTATATACCAATAAGGTGTACAAATATACCATTTAGGTATATTTTCCAAGATTATACAGATCTGAAGTTATAACTACTTTTATGTACAAAATCAAATCTCGGCAGTGCAAATTTCAACAATGTTGACGTCAAATACTGAATTTCAACAGAATATTTTTTGAACTCAAATCAGATGTTATGATTCAAACCTCCAGATCTCCAGATCTTCAAACTAAGAATAGAATTTTCAGTTAAAAATTTAGAAGTTTGAGCGCTAAACTTTTGTAATATGCGAAATCAAAATCGGAACAATACGATGCGAATTTGAGCATCAAAAGTTTCAGCATCTTCGAAAGTCAAATCGGCTGCTATGATTCTAACAGATTGATACTTCTACAAAATTTAAGGAGAAAAAATAGAATTTGAAAGAGAAATCAGCATCTTCGCTCTATTTTTTCAGGCTTGCGATCTTTAAATCTTCAATAACGATTCAGTGATGCTGGTGGAAATCTCAATTTTTGTACGCTAATATTTGTGAAGTTCTGCAAAATTTGAGCAGCCTTTCAGATTTTGTAGGTAGGGTATTAGCGTGGGTAGTTATTTTGAGATACTCTGTTTGTTTATTAAATGGGTAGGGAATTATAATTATTTAATGGGTAGAATTCTTTTATGGGTAGAGCAAGGTAAATATTTTTACTTTTATAGGTAGTATTGTCTTTTCCTCCAAATATTTTTGGTGTATGTTGATTGATGGAAAAATATTTCATTTTTCAAATGCTCAATTTGTAATCCAAGACAAAATTTTGTCTTTCCAGGATCTTTAATTTCAAATTCATTCTTCAAACATTCTACTGCCCTTGGAAGCTCTTCAGGAGTTCCAATGATATCCAAGTCATCAATATACACAGCTATTATAACAAACTTAGATCCAGATCATTTTATAAAAATACGAGGGCAAATTGGGTAATTCTTGTATCATTTTTTCAATAGTTATTCGCTAAAGCGATTATACCACATGTGTCATGATTGCTTCAATCCGTATAAGGATTTCTGAAGCTTTAGTAAATAAGTTTCCCGAAAATTTTTATATGTTTCAGGCACTTTGAATCCTTTAGGGATTTTCATAAAAAAATTCGTTGTCCAGTGAGCCATATAAATAGGCCGTGACAACATCTATAAGACGCATATCCAGTTTTTCATGTACTGCCAGACTAATAAGATACCTGAATGTGATTGCATCCACCACAGGAGAATATGTCTCCATAAAATCAATGCCAGGTCGTTGCGAAAATCCTTGTGCCACAAGTCGTGCTTTGTATCTTACAACTTCATTTTTTCATTTCTTTTACGCACAAAAATCTATTTGTACCCCACAGGCTTTACACCTTCCGGTGTTCGGGCTATAGGTCCAAAAACCTCATGTTTTTCAAGTAAATTCAATTCTACTTGGATAGTGTCTTTCCATTTTTGGCCAATTATTTCTTCTTCTACATTTATCGACAGATTTAGGTTCAAGATCTTTATCTTGTTGCATTATTTCAACAACATTATAAGCAAAAATATTGTCGATAACTATATTATTTCGATTCCATTTTTTTCTAGTTGAGACATAATTTATTGATATCTCTTCATTTTCATTATGTTTAGGTACCTGAAGCTTTCCTGAGGTTTTATCAATTGTTATGTCTCGTGGCTCTTCTTAAATAACTACCTCCATATTATGATCATCTTAATTATTTGTTCCTTTTTTTTCCAAGGATTTTTATCTTTGGAACCGATTGGTTTACCACGTTTTAATTGTGGCTTTGACACATTTTCTTTAACTGATTGTCCTACCGGACATCAATTCGAATAGGAGCATTTGCAGTTGGAATATGCAATTTAGTAACCCGTGGAAGGTTAGCAAATGCATCCGACAGTTGATTCGCAATATTTTGCATATAAATAATTTTTTGAACTTCTTGTTCACATTAATTTGTACGGGAATCTAAATGAGATAGAGATAATACATTCTAATCTATCTCTTTTTCCAGCTGTTTACTTTCTCCCCCTAATGTTGGAAAAATTGATTCATCAAAATGACAATCTGCAAATCTGGCTATAAACAAATCTCCTGTCATAGACTTCAGATATTTGATAATAGAAGGAGATTCATAACCAATATATATTCTCAACTTTCTTTGGAGACCCACCTTTATGCGTTATGGTGGAGCAATTGGAACATATACCGCAGATCCAAAAAATTTTAGATGAGAAATATTTGGCTCCTGACCAAAAAACAACCACAATGGGGAGACTTCATGATAACTCGTTGGCCTTATCCGCACCAGTATTGCTGCATGCAAAATAGCATGTCCCCACACTGAAAGGGGAAGCTTTGTCCTCATTAGCAACGGTCTAGGTATTAATTAGAGGTGTTTAATCAACGATTCTACTAAGACCATTTTGAGTATGAATATAAGAAACCGGATGCTCAACTTTTATTCTGGTGGCCATACAATAATCAGTAAAGGTCTGAGATGTAAATTCACCAGCATTATCAAGAATTCAACACGAATTGCTTTAATTGCATAATCTGAAAATTGTGCTCTTAACCTTATTATTTGGGCTAACAATCTCGCAAATGATATACTACAAGTTGACAATAAGCACATGTGTGACCATCTTGTAGATGCGACTATCAAGACCATAAAATACTTGAATGGTCTACATCGAGGGTGTATAGGCCCACATATATCACCCTCTATACGTTCCAAAAATGTTGGGGATTCAATTCGAACTTTAACTGGTGATGGTTTGAAAACCAATTTTTCTTGAGAACAAACATCATAAGAGAACTCCTTAAATTGAAGAATCTTCTTGTTCTTCAATGTGTGTCCATTTGAATTCTCTATTATTCTGCGCATCATATCAGAACCAAGATGGCACAACAGGTCATGCCAAATGATAAAATTATTAGAAGTAGTAAAAATTTTGTTTACTATGGTATGTGATTCAACCGCACCAATATTTGTGTGGTATAACCCAAAAGAAAATGCTGGTAACACATTTGTTTCCTTCTTTTATTGTAGTAATATAAAGATATTCAACCTTTCCTTCATTAGAGGTCTCAGGTGGCCATTTTGGAGAATAGCTTTGAAACTCAACAAGTTTCTTTGAGACTTACTACAATACAATGCATTATTAATAGCCAATATCATTCCTCCAGGTAGGAATAAGGTCGCTCTTTCGGAGCCCTCAATTAATTTTGTACTACCATATATTGTATTAACATATGCATTTTTCATAACCAAATAAGGGAAGAATTTCTTTTCTCTTAATATTATGTGAGTTGTAGCACTATCCAGAAGGCATAAATCTTCATTACTCATCGTGGATCCAATTGAAGACTGCATGATTTTATTTTCTTCATAAAGAAACAAAAAGTACAACATAAGAAATATAAAAGACTATCAATAAAAGAAACATTAATAAATTACACTAGGAATGTAGAAACTAGCATATATGATGCTTTAGGAAAGTACACCAAGAAGAAGCAAAAAACTACTTGCGGACATAATATGAAAATACCAACTTTTCTTAAAGTTTTTATTCCCAGTAAGATGATCACTTCTTCAGTCAATATCCTCAAAGAAGTCTTCAGCTTCTAAATGAGTAATATTTGCAAGGTCTCCAAAATCATCATCTTTATATGCAACATTTGCTTCAACATATCATATTTGTTTGAGGGACCTGCGTCATCGTCATTATTTTGAAATGTCAAGTGTGCCTCTACATTGTTCTCTTTTCTTTTGATGGAAGCTTAATAGAATTTAACAAAATGGTCAGGTATACGACATACACGTGCCCAATGACCTTTCATACCACATCGGTGGCAAATATTTACTCTGCCTTTTAAAGGATTATTTTGAAGACCTTTATTGTTCTCCTGTTTATTTTCATGATGACGATTTTTATTTTGTTCCTTGTCATGTCCACGACCATGGCCATGGCCGTAGCCACGACAATTATTTTGTCTTCTTTCAGACTTTTGATTCTCTACTACCAAATTCACTTCAGGAAATGATGCAGATCCAGTGGGACGAGTTTCATGATTTTTCATTAGAAGGGTATTATGTTGCCCAGCCACCTAGAGACATGAGATGAATTCAGAATATTTCTTTTAACTCTTTTCACGGTATTGATGTTGCAATACCATATTTGAGGCATGAAAAGTAGAAAGTCTTTTCCAGTTAGTCCCCATCATTCACAATTTCCCCACATAATTTATGTTGGGAAGATGTCCTGAATACAACAAAATTATATTCACTTACGGTTTTAAAATCTTGTAACCGCAAGTGATCCAATCATACCGAGCTCTTGGCAATATTGTTGCCTTAATATGGTCATATCGTTCCTTCAAACTGCTCCATAATTCAAATGGATCTTTCAGGGTTAAATACTCGGTCTTTAACCCTTCGTCGAGATGATGACAAAGGAAAATCATAGCCTTTGTTTTATCATGTCCTGATACTTCATTTCCTTGCATAATAGTATTTTCAAGAGATTTTGCAGCAAGATGAATTTCATCATCAAGGACCCATGATAAATAATTATTTTCGGATATGTCAAGTGCTACAAATTCAAGCTTTGATAAGTTCGACATAGCGAAAAAACTGAGGAGTGTGTAACCTAATAAGTAACCATAAAATTGAAGCCTCGTGCTGATAACGTGTTATGAAATAAAAGAAATATAGCAAGAACTATGTAATTAACATTAATGATAGAAAAGAATGATAATACTAGAAAAGGAACGTTTCTTTCTTTTGTTTCCAAAATTGTCTTCTTTAGGTTCATGAATGAACCTATTTATAGATACTATTGCATTGTTACATAACTTCCTAAATCTAGTTATGAGTCTCAAAATCAACACAAATCTAAGATATGGCAAGATTTCCAAATCTCAAGTTGGACATCTACCTTCTATGCAAGTGGATTTATAACAACATGAAGACAAATCTAAGATATGGCAAGATTTCCAAATCTCAAGTTGGACATCCACCTTCTATGCAAGTGGATTTATAACATTAGGAAATATTTCTCTTAAAGAACGGGCAGAAATGCTGTAACTGATAGCCCAAAGTTAAATGTTGTTGCTAGTTTACAAGGCCTATGTGTGAGCTAAGCTTTCTAGAAAATCCAATAACATAATTAAAGACTTCCATCTCTGAAAAAATTTCCTAAGGCAAGCATTAACCACCCCAACAAGCAACCTTCAATACATGCCTTCATCTGCAACACAGGTTGCTTAGCATTATTTCATAAGTATTCGAACGGGCAATAAGAAGTAATCAATACTGCTGCATCAAATAAAAGAAGAAAAGAAACTGCAAGTACGACCGTACCATTATTATCTTCATTCATATTGTAGTCGTCTTCATCATCATCATAATCATAAAGATTCTGTACCAATGTTCAACAGTTTCAAAATACTTAAGCTTTGTGTAGATATACACTTTTCTATTAAAGAATGACGCTTAATGATGTTGATCTAGGTAGGCAAACAATTGACAAGCAAAGCAAGTATAATTCATACTAGAGGAACATAAAGCATTTTGATTCAAGTTCCTTAAATATGGATGTCCATTTGCGGAAGCACCCACATACCTGGTTGTAATCTCCGTCATCACTAAATTCTTCTTCTTCCTCTTCAATTTTCTCCTCTTGTTCTTCCTCCTCGTCTTCACCATCTTTTTTCTTCTCCTCATCGCCCTAAGCATTTGCAGTGAATTGAAACATAACAATCAAAAGATAGGAAAGCATTGCAGTAGACGAGTAACCTTCTTGCTAAACACTTCAAAAGGAACATTTCCTGTAAAGGTAGAGGTTAACCTCAAGCTTCTTATCAAGCTTCTCAAGAAGATCCAATTTTTGCATGTCTGTCACCAAAAAACAATTTCATGAGCTCGATAAATTACAACAAATGTAAGGCAAAAGAGAAAAGCATCTGCATTTCTGTTCAATGTGATGTCAGCTCTTAGCCTCTTATACATCTTCTCATTGATAGGTAACTTTAGTCCAAATTCAACGAACTCACATGACTTAAAAGATCACTGAAAACCCTAGCATCCCACACAGGCACATACCCACTTAAATGAAATATATCCAAGTGGAGAAGAGCTTTCTTTTTGTGTGTATGGAAGAAGGGTCACATAAACAGCTAATGTTCTGCAACCGTTTAACAGACTTGTGAACGTACAGTGAAAAGTATTGGACTCCAGGAATATGTCTATTGACAAATTGAAGTTCAAAAGAAGTTGGGCCAGATCTCTTGCCCCAGCAATAACATAAGTTTGTTCAGTGCTCATAAATAGAGCGAGCTCACCATATCATGAACTGCTTGGGATGTGTAGAACCAATGCTATCTCACTTTAAGAGAATTTTTAAGTCGAGAAGATACAAAATAAAGTTAAAGAACCAAAGGGCTGATCAGTAGTGGAACTCTTTAAATACTAAGCTGGGCTGTTATTAAAATTGATAAAGACACACTGATGTATATCGCATAAGCTAACCGAGGTTCCAAACCCAGCTTGTGCTAACGAAGAACATTATGTACAAAGCCAATCTCTGCCAGGCATTGTGCTACTGAAACTTTGCTAGAGGTTCTGATCCAGGTTAGTGTTCAAAGGGCTTTGCTATAAATCAGTAGTTCTATTACCGAAGTGGAAATATTTTACCAATGGTATGTTCAGGGAACATGATATGCAACTCAGGACTTCAGAAGATGTATAAAATGTCCATATGTGAAATAGAAAGGAAAATCTGACAGGTTCTAGATTACTATTGGATAAAAAAGAACAAAGAACAAAAACATACACTCCAAAAATACCATAGCAACATTACGAGGCCATATCAAAGGCTTTAAGTCAAACTTTGACAAGGGAGTGTATATGTGCTTTTGTGCACAAAGGTAAATTTCTCAATAAGTGTCCTAGGGGTATACTATCAAATCCATTCTCATGAAGCAATGGAATAATGAGATCCAACTCCAAGTTACGCGCCTAATTATTATGCACAGGAGGTGAGAGACATAATATTAGGCGCACAAGGTGGACAAACCAATTTATCACGTCAGAAAGTTTGCAGAGAACAAAGACAAAACAGCAAGAAAGAAAGATAAAACCATGGAACTTTACCTGATTCTGGGTTCCAGCGCACTCTTTTCGCAGCACGATTCTCCTCCCTTCCACCTGCAATATTTATCATCATAAAGCATCTAACTAAGCAAATGAATTAGGTTGAAGAGATCTGACTAAGCAGCATGCCCAAAGAATTTAGCAGGAATTAAGGAGGACAAAACCTTTAGCTAGTTCTGCAGGAACATAGACTGGATCCATCCTTATGAAGTGCGACAATGGTGGCTTTGACTTGCCCCTCTCTGACTTCCTATCTGAGAACCTTTCTATATCCATGCCTTTTGTTTCTAGAAACATAATTTGTGATGTGCAGAAGATCAGAAATCTGAAACTCGCAGCGATTCACATAAAGTGCCACGTAAAAAAAGAAGTAATCAAAATTCTGAACGCCAGATATAAAATAACAAGACATTAAATATCAAATAGTGCAGAAGGGTATGCGAAGTATAGAAAATCGGGAATCTGAAACTACACCGTATGGGCATAAAATCGGAGCATCAAATAATCCGTAATCACAACAAACTAATTGTCAGATAGTGCAGAAGGGGAAAGATTAATTTCAAATAATGCAGCAATTCTTCTAACAGAAAATGTCTTCCAAACTGTACTTGAAATGAACCACATGAACCTCGTGCTTTTTTTCTTTTAACAATTATGTAGCTGTTCTAATTTGCATTGTGGACCTTCATGTATTCTCACGAGGAAAATAATAAAAACAGAATCTTCAAAAAGAAACCAAAATCCTCTGAAAAAATTGTCCATGATTACTCCTTGAAACGACAATCAGATAGTATTGCAGCATGCACAAAATACGCACGACTACAGGTAATAATGCTAACTTCATCCACCGACTGTGGATTATCTGGTGCCCCACAGTTTAGTTAGCTCTTGACTAATGATTAGACCACTGCGGACTATCTGCTTGCCCGCATAGTGTGCCAACAAAGCTAGTGCTGGGCTATCTGATGCCCGCAGAATGTGTCAAGCAGATATAAGAGTGTCGCTATAAACTGTCTAGATACTGGCATAGTGAGCTAAGCTGGGATAAAGAGCTTTTGCCATTGTGGACTCTGGTGCCTGCACAACTTGCCAAGCAAATATAAGTTGTAACGCCAAAGATTGTCTGGTGCCGCATTGTGCACCAAGCATAGATGCAGGTTGCATAAGTTTCAGGAATGTTGTATGAGGTGCATGACTTGTAAAGTACTTTTTATGATTTGTAATTATGACGTTTTATGCCTTGTTTGCGCTAGGTTGACTAATGTTAAAGGAATATTATGTTTCAAAGAAACTACAACACAACAACATACCCAGTATATTCCCACAAGGGGAGTTAGGGAGGTAGTATGTACGCAATCCTTATCCCTACCTTGAAACTCTTTTCATAAATTTTTACACATTTATGACTTTAGAACTAATGTCTCCATATGAAACATTCAAGTTTTCTAAAGTTACGACCTTTCATACAAATGCATGTTTTCTCTTAAGACTTGTCCCAACTTTTAGAGGCATGTCTATCAGATTTGCTGACTATACTCCGTCCATCTACCTTCAGGTCTTACAGATTCAGTTGACATCTCCATTTTACGAGGCTTGAGCACCACTAGATAGAACTTTTGCGGTGAGCCCCACACTAGATTGGTGGTGGCTTCCTTTGATATTTCTACCTTTACTTATTGATGGGCTACATCCAGTTTCGGTTTATGTATAACGTTATTCATTAGAAGATCCATACATTACTGTGGACCGTAAATAGATTGTATCTCTCGTCAAGGCTTAATTCAGATATGTGATGTTTTCGCTTCTATGGGAAGTTATGCTTCATTTAGCTGACGCATGACAATGTGGAATCGCTTGGAACCCCAATGTATGCTTTATGGGTAGTTGATACAACAACGTTAAGTGTTCTCTCTGCGGACACTGGCTCATCGCGCGCCATTCATGGCCCTCCAGATTTCGGTCGTGACAAAATGTTAGTGCCAATCATTTACAACAAGTATAATAAGTGACTTTATCCATTCCTAAACAAGAGGTATGAAATTTCCTCAAAGAAGGAGTGCATAAGTTTCAAAAATTTGAATGCTTACTCTTCAAAACATCACTTTCCTCTCCCAAATAGTAAGGAGAGGAGTTCCAATACTTCTGTAACTTTGAGTGCCAAATTGCCAGTGTTGTCCTTTCAGTGACACTTGCCGCATTACCTAAGTTCTCAATTTCCTGCAAATGTAGAAAGGTTAAAATTGTGTTAGCTGCAAATCGACAGACCAACCATATCAAGCTAAATTAATAACATATTCAATCTTTCTTCTTAATTAACTTAAAGTAGCAAGAGATCTATCTATATCAAGCTTAATTGTTAATCTCAGCTGACATTAATCAGTTCAGATTAATCTGCCAAAAGAATTATGAGTCAGATTAACTCAACTAAACTACCAGTGGACATGACCTAAACATCCAGTAACCATTGGACACATTAATCAGACCTTACATCAAATTCTTTTCCCTCGAATATAAAATATACTGTGTAATACCAGAGCAGAAAGAATCTTCTTTTGTCAAATCCACATGCACTATAGATCAATTGTTAATGTGGATCTGTCAAAAATAGTTAATAGGGGACCAAAGGTGCAATTAAAATGAATTTAACTGACAAGGAAAAAGGAAATTCATTGGGCTAACAATTGTCCAATATACCAATGTGTAAAAGTTCAAACCATATTAATATGCAAATAATGTAGAAGGATACTTCTACATTATTACAAGGCTGCCGTATTACACCCATTGATAGGCAATGATGAAAACTTTGTTTACACTTGCATAGAAAGAGAGGAAATTTTGTCCATATCTTCTCCTAAAAGTGGTACTACATTCATCCTTCTGATGCTATTGGAGCATAATACTCCATATGTATTGAGTGAAAATACAGACGAATTCTTCTAAGAATACAACTTTTGACTGGTTGAAACTACATAAACGCTACAAAAAAAAGTCTATATTTTACATGCTTGTTTGATGAGAAATGATTAATTGACAAAACACGAGGACAAACGTTCAATTTGGGTGGGGCGATTATTTTAGCTCGTTAAAGGACTATATAACTTTTATATTGTGATTTTGTTAGTAGTAATAATATATGATGTAACTCCTTAACTTTTCCATGAATTTATTCCAGGTATTCTGGATATTTATTTTGATGAAGGTATTCTAGATATTTATAATCACATTATGTACCTTAAACATCAAAACATGCATTATGTGTCAGACATCTTTCTATTTATCATCATATAAACTCTCATAATTGGCTGAATGAATTTTTGAGTACAACATTATTGCAAGTGCTAAATTTCCTATGATTAACTTCAGTACAAGAAAACATTCCTTTCTAAAACCTTTTTCCCATCCGTTTACAAATAGTTTAGTCTCTATGTTAGCACGCATTTTTACAGCTTCAAAGTTGGAAAATTTTACTCATTTCCCAAGACCAATATATTAGTAATCAACTATGCCTCAATCCTAAATTAGTTGTGTCTGTTATATGATCCATATGGCTTTCTTAACGTGGTATAAAAGATGATTCATTAAAGTTCAATTATTTTATCTAACAGTTAACCTATCACAACCCTCGTCCCTTAACTGAACTTGTGACCAAGCTCCTTAAGCAATGTTACCCATCCACAAACACATACTGTACCATAATTCGTGTGAAGAATATCGCATAAATGAGCCAAAGGAGTTCACTTACGGGGAAAAGTTCAAATGGAACTTGCTTGGCTGGTCGAAAACTGCCACCTCCAAATCCACCACGCCCTCGACCTCGGAAGGCCATCTAATCGAACCCTCTATCAGGGCCTGTATTAATGCATTACCCAAAATAAAACAGTAAATACACCACAAATCTTTTGTTGCTTAAATAATAGGATAAATGTTAGTAGCGGTATACATGGTTCACTCTGAGTCGATTTTTTCTTTTAAAAAAAGAAGAAGAAGATTTTAAAAAAGGAAGAAGAAGAAAAACAACATATGTAGACCAAATCAAACCAATTCACCAATAATTGAAATGAACAAAGTTTTTTAACTACATCCTTATATTGACAGGCGTAGTAGATGAGAAAATCAGAGTGATAAAAAACAAAGAAGCTCCCCAAAATTACTGCTATAATGCATTGGAAATTTCATTCGCGAACAAACTGCGACAATCTATAAACTATGAACCCAGCGCAAAAAAACATGGATAGCACAAAGCAAAAGTATGTTGAGAAACTTACACAGAAGCAGCAATTTCTGAGTTTCTGGCTTTCTGCAGACAAAAATTTTCAGCGCGAGAATGATAGAGGAGGAGTCTGGTTGACGGACAAGAAGCGAGGGGAACTATAATTCTATTTTTTTCTTTTAAAGAGAAGTCAGAACTTAAATGAGTAGTCAGTCCTCTGGGTCTTGAATTAAAAATGGGCTATAGTTGCTAATTTGCACTCTAAGCCCATTACAAATCACCTTGTGCCCAGCCCTTTTGCTAATAGCCCATTATATAACTTATGTATATTGGTAAAAAAAGTTAAACAGTAAATTTGATTGGCTACTTGTGTAAAAGATCCCAAAAAGTTTTGTCATCTAATTGACAATTGAATGAAAGAGAGACTTTTGACCGGCTTTCCGTTTGCTAGAGTTGACTCCATTCTCCTCAATTCCCCTCATAAGAAAGGAAATAGAAAAAGAACTACATACCTAGGTATGAATAATGGATAAAATATGATTGATTACCTAACTGTATAGTGGAATCATTCCATACTATTGTAGCTTGATTTCTACCTAGACTAACTAATAAGTAGCTTGTTTCACTAAACTTGGTGTGATGATCCAAAATGTCATCTTTAAATTTAATTATTAATTATGTATTTTAAGACCTCAAAAAATACTATTTATCACTTCTCGAATTGCGTGCGCAGTCCATAAAATTTTTCGGAAAGCTTTTATGTGAAAAATGGATTAAAATGTGAAATAAAGCTTTAAAACTCAACTGAGTTGACGTTGGTCAATATTTTGAGCAAACGAACTCGGATCAGTATTTTGACAGTTCCCTAGGTCCGTATCGTGATTTGGGACTTGAGTGTATGCCCAGAATCGAATTCCGAGGTCCCTAACCCGAGATATGGAATTTTGATGAAAAATTAAAGTTTGAAAGCTTAATAATTTTTAAGAATCTACTGATGTTGGATTTATTGATACCGGGTCTGTATTTTGGTTCTGGAGCTCGGTGTAGGTCCACTATAATATTTAAGACTTGTCTGCCGAATTTGGTGAGAAACGGAGTTGATTTGACGTGATTCGGACGTCCCGTTGTGAAAATATAAGTTTTAAAGTTTTCTTGAAATTTTCATTCGATTTGGGATTCAATTCGTAGTTCTAGGTGTTATTTTGGCGATTTGATCGCGCGAGCAAGTTCGTGTGATGTTTTAAGACTTGTGTGCATGTTTGGTTTGGAGCCCCGAGGGCTCGGGTGAGTTTCGGATAGCCTACGGACCATTTGAACTTTGAGAAAAATCTGGTTTTTAGCTTCTTTTGTCATCTGGTGTTTTGTGCTTCGCGCTCGAGAAGCCATTCCTGCGATCGCGAAGAGGAAAGTTGGACTGGCACAATTATGCTTCGCGTTCGCGACCGAGGGCACGAGTTCGCGAAGGGTTGAAGTGCAAAGCTTCGCGCTCGCGATCGAATCTTCGCGTTCGTGAAGAGGAAATGAGGCAGAAGCTAGGGTACTCAAATTTGTTCTTCGAGTTCGCATGAAACGGTCCGCGATCGCATAGGTCTACGGGATCATGCTTCGCGTATGGGATGTCGCGTTCGCGTAGTGCAAATGGGCAGCCTGTGCAAATTGTGCTTCGCGATCGCGAAGCCATTTCTGCGATTGCGAAGAGTAAAATGAACATGGACAAAAGTGTTCTCCGCGATCGCGAACGAATTTCCGCGATCGCGATGAATAAAAATCTGAAAAACAGAACTTAAGTTCTGGAAATGGGATTTCGACCCATTTTCAACCATTTTTAATTTTTGAGCTCGGGTAAGGTGATTCTTGGGTGATTTTCACGGAAAAATATTGGAGTAAGTGTTCCTTATCCTATATCGATTATATTTCATAATTTCATACTCATTTACATCATGAATCCGTGGATTTATGGGAGAAAAATCATATTTTTATAAAATCTTCCAAAAATGAAAATTTAAGATTCGAGGGTCCATTTGACATCGGAACTTGATAATTTTTATATGGTTGGACTCGTCTCGGAATGGGTGTTCGAATTTCGTAGGTTTTTTCGAGATTTGAGATGTGGGTCCCACTGCCGAATATTAAAATAAATTTTGGATTTTTATCCGAAAAATTAGTAAATTCATATGGAATTAATTCCTATGATTCGTATTGAGTATATCGAATTGTTTGCGAATAGATTTTTGGGGAAAAATTCAAAAGGAAAAGCCGTGGTCGAATAATTATTGGAATTTGCAAAGCGAGGTAAGTGTCGTGGTTAACCTTGACTTGAGGGAATAGAACCCTTAAACTATTTGTTATGCGAAATGCACGTGAACGACGTATGGGCGAGGTGACGAGTGTCTATACATCGTCAAATTAATTGTTTGCATAATTGTTTGAAAAATCATAAATCGTTTTAAATCATGAATTAATTGTTATAATAATTGTTTCTCTCCTATTCTTTGTAAAATATTAATTCTTGAATTCCTGCAACAATTGTTACATGCTATTTGATTTATGTGTCTTAATTGTTATTTGATATTTAGCATACTAAATATTAACTGCCTATTTTCTCCATAATTTTCATAATTAATTGATAATTGCCATTGTTTGCTCATAGATAAATTATAATTATTGTGTGTCTTGATGCTTAATAGTTTCTCATTGGACGTGGTATTTATTGGAGTAATTTTTATTACATTTATGAGTTGTTTAAAGTTATATTAGGGGATCGGGTTGCACGCCGCAACAGACTTATTAAAAAGTCCATATTGGGAGATCGGATTGCATGCCGCAACAGACTTATTTAAAAGTCTATATATACTTGATTAAAATAAATATATGGGAGAATTGAAAATGAATATGTTGTGTGAGCGGGTTGCATGCTGCAACAGAAATTGATGGAAATAATATTTGGTCATGACTGTTGAATTGGCTTTAACTGTTAAAATTGAGTTACCTGATTTATTTTTATTATTGTTGTTATTACTATTATTGCGTACAGGTTATTGTAAGTGACCTGCCTTAGCCTCGTCACTACTTCGTCGAGGTTAGGCTCGGCACTTATCAGTACATGGGGTCGGTTGTACTGATACTATACTCAATACTTCTTGTGCAGATTTCGGAGTTGGTCCTAGCGGTGTACCATAGACTTGCTCGAATTTCAGCTACCATAGGAGACTTGAGGTATAACTGCACGACGTCCGCAGTTCTGAAGTCTCCGTCTACTTTACTTTAGCTGTGTGTTTGTTTTCAGACAGCTTTATTTTATTCAGACCTTTATTTGTATTATTCTAGAAGCTCGTGCACTTGTGATACCAATTCTGGGATGCTATTTAGACACCGTTATTTTATGGATTATTCACTAAATTTCAGACTTTACTTCCGCATTTAATTCTTTATTATTAATAAATTTAATAATTATTTTAAAATGGATAATATTATTCTAACGTTGGCTTGCCTAGCAAGTGAAATGTTAGGCGACATCACGGTCCGAAGGTGGAAATTTCGGGTCATGACAGTTGGTATCAAAGCACTAGGTTACATAGGTCTCACGAGTCATAAGCAAATTTAGTAGAGTCTGAAGGATCGGTACGGAGACGTCTGTACTTATCTCTCAGAGGTTATGAAGCTTAGGGACAATATCATTTCTTTCTTATTATGTCGTGAGATTTTATTCTATCATCGGTGATTAAACCATTCTACTCTTATTCTCTCGCAGATGGTGAGAACACGTAATACATCTATCGATGGTCAGGGACCAGAGCCCTCAGTGGCAACTATGGCCAGGGGTAGAGGTCGAGGTCGTGCTAGAGGCCGAGGCAGAGGTAGAGGTAGAGCTCAGTCTAGAGCTCGAGCAGCACCTGTTGTAGAACCTCAAGTGGATCTTCCGGAGGAGGTTCCAGTTCAGAATGTACCAGTTGGACCAGTTCAGGTCCCGGAAGGATTCATAGCTACTCCAGTGCTTCAGGACGCTCTAGTCCGTTCGGTGAGTCTTATGGAGGGCGTGGCCCATAATGGTACATTTCCAGTGGCACCAGCCGTCTCACAGGCTGGGGGGGAGCACAAACTCCCACTACTCCCACTCCGGAGCAGATAGCTCCCCAAAACGAGGCTCCAGCAGCCCCGCTAGTTGGGGTAGTTCAGCAAGTTGCTGCGGCACAGACCGATGATAGGCCCGCCATGTCTTTTGAGTCCTTATTGAGACTGGATAAGTTTACTAAGCTCTTTCCAGTTCACTTCAGTGGTACACCTCCTGAGGACCCACAGGATTATCTTGACCGCTGCCATGAGGTGCTGCGAAACATGGGTATAGTTGAGACCAATGGAGTTGATTTTGCTGTATTTCAGATGACGGGTTCCGCTAAGAGGTGGTGGAGAGATTATACATTAGCCAGACCAGTTGGATCGCCTGCACTTACCTAGGAGTAGTTCTCTCAGCTATTTCTGGAGAAGTTCCTTCCTATCATACTGAGAGAGGATCATCGCAAGCAATTTGAGCGTCTACAGCAGGGCAGTATGACTGTTACTCAGTTTGAGTCCTGTTTCGTGGATTTGGCCCGTCATGCTATCCTTTTACTACCTACTGAGGGAGAGAGAGTGAGGAGGTTTATTGAGGGACTCACTCACCCTATCAGGCTTCAGATGGCCAAGGAAACCGAAAGTGATATTTCTTTTCAGGTGGCTGCTAATGTCGCGAGAAGGATCGAGATGGTTCTTGCACAGGAGAGAGGGCAGAGGTCTGATAAGAGGCCTCGTCAGCTTGTGGTTTTAGTGGTGCCTCGCCTGGGGGCAGGGGTAATTTTGGTATGGGTCATCATCCCAGAGCGTTTCATTCAGCACTTCATGCATCTCCCGGTGCTTCAGGGAGTTACGATCCTATTATGCATTACTCTGGGCAGCCAACATTTAGTGCACATTTAACTCATATCAGTGCACCACCACTCCAGAGTTACTACAGCGGTTATCCGGCCCATTCGGGTCAGCTTCAGCTTCAACAACCACGACATCAGGATGGGTGTTATGAGTGTGGGAACATTGGTTATATTAGGAGGTATTGCCCTAGGTTGGTGAGTAACATATCTCAGCAGGATTCTCGTGCCATCATACCGGTACCGGTTGCTTCACCGCCTGCTC